TGCACAACTCAGAAGAACCACACAGTTGCCATCACAACCACCCCCACCCCACAGTCTCCTCTGCGTGGGAACCCCCTTCCCCACTCCGACCGCTAGGATCAGAGGAGAGACAGGCCACAGACCCAACATGGATAGCATATGAGGTCTTCGCAAAAAAAAAAAAAATCTTCCCAACTAATTCTTACTGTTTGCACAACTCAGAAGAACCACACAGTTGCCATCACAACCACCCCCACCCCACAGTCTCCTCTGCGTGGGAACCCCCTTCCCCACTCCGACCGCTATGTCTCTGGACCAAGGTTTTCAACCTCCAACGCACCTTGAAATCACCGGAGGACCTTTAAAGATACTGATACCTGAGTCCCACCTGAGAAATTTCTATTTCGATGGTCTGGGGTGTGGCCCTGAGCATTTAAGTTTTTAAAAGCTCCCCAGGGGATTCTAACTGGCAACCAATACCTTTGACCCCTTGGATCTGCTGGTTTAGAAGAATGTTTTCCATCTCCATCACATCCCCTCTAACAGCCCCCACTGGCTCCCCGGGACCACCCCTCCATCCCCAACTATGTCTTTGACTCAAGGAGAATCCCCCACTCTTCCCTTTGCTTAAAAATGGCTTTGGAATCTGGCCCCCACTCTCTACAACTTACACAAACTCATCATAAGCATCACTTTCTCCTCCATTAAGAAAAATTTCTTCCATGAGCTCCACAGCATTTTCTACTCACAGGAATCCCTTCCTCCGGACCCCAGATTCCTCTCCATTCAGAAATCTCCCAAGCTCTGACCTGTATACCCACCGCTATCTAAGGAAAACCCCCCCACTCTGCCCAGCATCCCCATCACCCCATTCCTCTGCCCTTCCACCATCTCCCTCTGCCTCCCAATCTCCCCACTGTAGCCTGGTTATCTTCATCATAAGGATGGACCCCCAAACTCTATATCTCCCCAACTCACTTGGATCTCCACTCTCCCTTCAACTTACAAGAACCTCCCTCCACCCCTTAGGCTGCCTTTTCTTGCATTAGGAAGAATTTCCTTCACTTTTTCCCCTTTCCTCCATCCACTCCAGCTCCCAGCCTCTCCTCTACTCAGGAAAATCCCCTTCATGGCCCCCACCAACTTCCCTTCTTGGGAACACCCACAGGACTCCCCCTACTATTTCACCTGTGATGGAACATACCCTGCACCCGTGTTTTCCTCCAAATTTAAAAAGAGCCCCCCCTCCACAGATGGTGCCCCTCAGAAAAATTTGACTTACAGCTCTCTTTCAATTAGGAATAATTCAATAGAATAATTCTGTAACCCCCCCCCCCAGTGTCCATTCATTTCTCTCTTCCAGTGTTCCACCACCACACCCCCAGCCTGCC